CACCGCTGTCATCTCCTTCTCGTGCACCGAATATCGTCACTCGGTCTCGTTGAGTTTGTGGCTCTCGTAGGTCACCAGGTGACCCTCCTGTATGAGTACTCCACTAATAGCGAAGTCTAAAGCATCTGTATGGACTTCAAAGGGCTCCCCATAGTCCGACAATTTGAGCATTGGTTCTTCCAACACAGCAACCTTTAGATCTTGGAATGCAGCTTCACATTTGTCAAACCACCTCCAAGGCTGCTCCTTCTTCAGCAACTCATCAGTGGAGTTGCACGCTTCGAATACCCCGCTATGAAGCATCGATAGTAGTTAACGAAACCAAGGAAGGATCTCAGCTCCGACACCTTCTTTGGAGTTCGTCATTCCACAACAGCTTGCGTCTTTGATTTATCCATCCGAGTGGAGCCATCCCCGATTTGATGCCCCAAGAATAAGATCTTTGTTTTAGCAAAATAGCACATCACCATTTTCACGAACAAAGTGTTCTCCTTAAGAACCTTGAAAAGTATCCGAAGGTATTTGAGCAAAGTAGACAACGATATCATCCAAGTAGACGACGATTATCGTCCAAGTAGATGACCACAAACTTATCCAAATACTCCTTGAATAGTTGGTTCATAAGAGTGCAGAATGTGGTCGGAGCGTTGGTTAAGCCAAAAGACATCACCAAGAACTCAAACGCTCCATACCTGATCACGCAAGTAGTCTTCGCTTCGTCGCCTTGAACAATGCGCACTTGTCAGTACCCCGACCGAAGGTCGAGTTTGGAGAAGTACTTTGCTTTGCCCAATTGGTCGAACAAGTCCGCGATAAGCGGGATGGGATACTTGTTCTTCACCGTCACCTTGTTGAGGGCTCGATAGTCCCATCTTGTTTCTTTTGGAAGAGAACTAGAGCTTCGAATGGTGCTTTGGAACTACGGATGAGACCACCACTTAGCAGTTCATCTAACTGCTTTCTGAGCTCTGCCAACTCAGGAGGGGGCATGCAATATGGTGGTCTCGCTGGAGGCTTCACTCCTGTCTCCAGCTCGATATGATGATTCATGCCTCTGCGTGGTGGCAGAGTCTTCGGCAACTAAAGAGGTATGACATTTGTAAACTCCGTCAGGACGTTAGCCACCATAGCACGTTCCTGATTGGCCTCCTCGTCGAGTGGCTCTAGCTTCACAATAGCCATGAATGTCAATTCGCCTTTTCGTACCCCTTTCTTCAGTTGTAATGTCGATATTTGTTGGGGTTCCCTGGTTCCTCTTCGAGAAATGGGAACCACACAAGGGTCGTCACCTCCCAACATATATAGGGAGTTTATAAATGGCATTGGCATCAACTTCGCCGTGTGCAGGAACTCCATTCCAAGAATCACTTGGAAGTCATCTAGTGGCACCGCCATCATGTTTGTGCTCCCGCTCCATGTTTCGATCTTGATGGGAACACCCTTTGCCAACCCAAAGATTCACTTGGCCTCCGAGTTCACTGCTTTCATCCGACTTGGGTTCTTCTTCAAGATCAGCCCAAGTCGCTTTGCTTCTCGGTCGGCAATAAAGTTGTAGGTAACGCCCGTGTCTACCATTGCACGGGTCGTTTGGCCATTGAGCTTCATGTCTACGTACATTAGCTCGTTACTTCCTGCTTTTTGTGGCTTTGCCTTTATGTTCTCCCCCACTTGACCTCGCATAGCGTTCAACAAACGCATTGCTACTATTCGGGGTCCTTACAACTCCTCATCATCACTACTGGATTCTGAACTACTTGAACTGAGAGCGACGGCTTTACCCTTGTCTGATTTGAGGGGATGGATGGAAGCTGTTAAAGCATTGAGTGCCTGTTTCTGTGGGCACTCTCTCACCATGTGCGACCCTCCGCACAAGAAGCATCCGCCAGGTTTTGGGGCCTTGCCTTTTGAGCTTGGCCCTTTGTGGGAGCTCTTCTTCCTTTGCTCACCTCCGGGCTCCTTCCCTCGAGAGTATTTTGGAGGGCGATTTCCTAAAGATTGTTTCCTTTTTCCTAAGTCCTAAGAGGACAAAGTCGGTGAGCCTTTCTGAGACCATAATTGCCCCGATCACATCGGTGACATTCCTTCGATGCAGTTCTTGTTGAGCCCATGGCTTCAAACCATCGAGGAAGCTAAACAGTTTACCCTTCTCAGACATGTCCTGTATGTCCAGCATTAGTGCAGAAAATTGCTTCATGTAGTCTCGAATGGAAGTACTTTGGTGGAGTTGTCTTAGTTTCCTCCTTGCGACGAACTCTGTGTTCTCGAGTAGGAACCTCCCATGTGTCCACCCAACACTGACCTTGTTGGATCTCCTCCCAACGGGTTCGCTATCAAAATTTTGCATCCTCATTCAAATACATGGTTGCTATCAAAACTTTGGTTTCTTCATAATCAGGCCTCGTAGCTCGAAATTATTGTTTCATGTCGAACAGGAAATTCTCGAGCTCTTTAGCATCTCTAGCACCTCCATAACAATGTGGCTCAAGTAGGTGCTCTCAAGTTTTGTGGCGACGTAACGCGAGTGTTGTTTCCTCCCACATTCATTGCCCTTATGAGCATGGTCACCCTGGAAGTGAGTTCCGCCACGACTTCGTGCAGATGTTGTACGGAGTCTTTGGTGTCGTATGATAGTCGATCGACTAGGGCCTCAACCTTATCTATCCGGGATTCAACTTCTTACGAGCTCTCTACCCCAAGAAGCCTACGTTGGCCATGGTAGAGTTCCTCCAAGCTCTCTTCAAGAACATCCAAGCGGGTTTCCACCGCTGTGAGTCTCTCCTTATGACTCTTTTTTCCGATTAGCACTCCAAATTGTGCCTCCTTCGCTCGCGGAAAGTAGCCAACTTCTCGCTCATCATGTTCGCTGTCGCGCTCCTCCTGAGCGGCAACAACAGCATGAGAGTGAGTATGCACTTGTAGTCTACCTGCGACTGCTTGGGGCAAGGGTCCAGCTTGCCCCGTCTTGCTTGATTCGCCACGATGCTTTCCCATGGCGAGACTGCAAAGTTCCTTCGCTGCTTACTCAAATTGCTTGCCCGCTTTGATACCACAATGTCACGGACTTAGCTAGAATTACCTAAACCATGAGGCACACTTGCGGCAAAGACGTAAACTTAGCTTGAGTTGCCTAAGTCACGAAGCACCTTTGCGCCAACTTCTCGGACTTAGCTGAGATTGTTAAGTCGTGACGCGCCCTTGCGATATGCGTCCACAAAGGGTCAGCCAATTTGCAACCTCTCTCAGGTCTCGAAGGACCTTTAAAAGAGAAAGTTGATTAGTTCGAAAATGAGCGGCGGACAAGTCCCAACGTCTTTAGAAGATAGAACGAATAGTTGCAAGTCCACAAACAACTGCTTACCGGGTACCGGGCGCGAAGGCAAGTTCCCGTCAAGATAACGTGCGAACTTGTGAAGATTGTTCAACACCCAACAATATACAGAAGCTCCATCCAGCCCTGTTGCACCTGGGGGATTTCAGGGTGCTGAGATGGCTGACATTTTGTGTGCAACTGCGGCTTGTAGAAAAACGAGCCGTGGCACGCGAAAACGAAGCCATTTTGGAGCAGTTCGACCCGGTGCGACGAGCGATCGCACTATAGCATTGCAGCATGTTCAAACATGCATTTCTATAAGCAAAAACACATAAAACCAAGGCAAAACAGGCTGTCATGCCTCTGTATAAGCATGCAAAAGCAACGAACGATTCGTTGAATGAAGTTGTTGCAGGTGCGCGACGATCGTTCGTGTCAGCTTGCCATCTACATCAGCACTGACACAAATGCAGAGCGATGCCACTCGACAATTGCGTCGACACCAACACATATGCAGAGTGGCGAAAGGGTCGCTCAGCAACTACTTCAGCGTTGATGCAGATACAAGCGGCCCTCATCTCTCATCGTTGCTCTCCTCATCCACAGCAGTCACGCGTAGCCTACAGCGGCCCTCATCTCTCATCTGTCATCTGCCATCGCCGACACCGTCCGCAATCACCAAATGGAACGTTAAAATTACTTTTTTGCCTATTATTTTCGTGTTTCCGTCAGTAAAACCGACGACATTAGGATAAATGGACCTAGATATTTCACTTTCATAAATATAGGGATTCTAATATAAATTTTTTTAAGTTTAGGGACCAAGATACTAAGGAAGTCTAACTACAAGGGGTAATTTATAATTAGCCCTCATCGAGATCATAGAGGAGCATCCTACCAATTATACTAAGGTACACCCTCAAAAAAGATGCTAGAAATAGCAAAAGGCAAAGATTTCTAGTAAAAGGCAAAGATGACCAAGGCAGGGGTCTCTAGAAAATGCTTGTTTTATCAAAATTATTTGGTCAGTCAGTTCAGCAAGCCAGATGGTATCAAGAATGCCAAACAAAACTTCACATTCATGTTACTGAAAGTGTGTTTCTTTTTGTGTTTGCTTTTACAGAAACTCTACTTCTTCTTTCTGGCTTCTTTTTTTAACCTTTTCCTTAATATACATATTTCACATACTGAAAGTTGCAGCATTTGCTGCCTTACCTAAAAAATATGAAAATTTGCCTTCTATAACATTTTTAAGATCAAGTTTGATGAGCAAAGTTATTTTTGTAAAATGATAAATTTTAAAGCATTTGCAAATTTTGTAAATTGAAGTAGGAATCACCAAGTTCCTTTCACCAACTTTTTTGATGAATTAACATGTGAAGAATTTGAGATGCTATTCTATGGATGATTCATCACAGAAAAAGAAATCACTTAGGAAGAAACAAATTTGTCCATCAATGGAAACTAATTTTAATCTTTACTTAAAATATGATCATTAAGTACTAAATATCTTGTGAATTAAGATATATTTTTTTAAAAAAAATAGTCAATATGTCTCTGGAAATTGCAAAGTTTAATTTAAGTTCATAAATTGGCTAAATCACATCATTCTTTACTGAATAACATAACAAAAGATGTTTACCTTCTCGAAAGATAAGCATTTAACAATTCAACTAAAGTAAAATAATACCTGCCAAAAGAGAATTTCTTGCACAGCATTTGTAGTTGGAACTCCTTCAGGCCACATTGGTATAACCACATAAACTGCAAATGGCTCATTGGCTCTAATTTTGCTGGCAACTTTTAGGGCTAACTCCATCGGTATCAGATTATCAGCACCTGTTGATACTCAGGAGTTTATAACTCTGTTTTGAAATATAGTACAGGCAAAAAATAGATATAATGAAATTGGGCAGTAAAAAATGTTAACAATTCTGTTCGACGCATGTTGGCAGCCACCAAATGCTACCAAGAAAAATTAGTTGGTGCTTACAATTCAATGATTCCTTGATCAAAAATTAAATAAATAATTTAATTAAAAAACAGGAATTCCAAATATAAATGTGCAAAGATCATATTATGAAAGGATGACCTTAAGCACGACATTAAAAAAAATATACTAAAACATTGACTAATAGCAAATAGAAGCATCATGACCATAGCTGTTGCAGACAATTACAATTGTTATACTAGTTTTCACATTTTTCAAACTCCAAAATATCAACAAGTGATTTTCAGATTTAATACCTTACATAACAGAAGTTAAGGTTAATACAAAAACAAATCTGTCACTTACATCTAATAATTCTCTTATTATATTATTCATACACACTACTAATGCTAAAATATAATGTAACACCAGAAACTGCGAAAATATTTATGAAACAAGAACTCACAGATAACATGTATTGTATCTCTGTCAAATCTATTGGACAAAATTTGGATCCTTCTTCGGATATGCATTCACACAGTATCCCTAGTTTAAAGAGATATATTAGACTAGACAATTCTAGAGTACTTGATGATACCTACAAAAGATTATTCCTTGGGCTTCTTGTCATCCAATGACAAAAAACTGACAGAGAAGATAGATGGTTGACTTTTGGTTTTGTGATTTTTAGTATCATTAGACGGAAAGTTTAGGGTTCAGGATTTGTTGCTATTTATGAACATGATACCATGCATGGCAGAATTTTGTAGTCTGTCAGTGAATCAACCATCCACAATTATGCACTTCTTGGTGGTTCCACATCATTTTTTCTAACAAAGTAACAAAAAATTGAAAACAATTAGGGTGGTAAAAAGTTTAGGCAGGAAGATGTTAATTGTTATCACTGAAAAATCATAACATCAAGGGATTATCACAAACCTGAATGCTTATAAGATGGCCAACCATATGAAGAACCAAGAAAATACTGATTTTCAATATATATGAAATGTTGGGCAGATCTGATTGCCTTTACATATGCTGTGTGGATGCTCTTATCAATTACCAGATTCTTTCGACAGACAAGATTCTGCAACAGATGATAATAAATGGTATATAAGACCAGAATAATATTTTGGAACTAATATATTATTTTGTAGCACATTGTACAAAACAGGAAATCATATGGCTTTTGTAAAATCAAATCGTGGCTCAAACTGATTCACACGAGGAAACAATGACATATAGCTATATAGTTTGTTAATGCTCCATAACAGAAAATATGCCAGCATATGCATCAAGGCAAAAGAATGACCATTTTTGAAGCTTCTTGGACATTGTCGGGAAAACCTTTTACCGATCCAGAGTCGATGGATCGAAAGACCTGAAAAAGTTAAAAAGTATATCAAAAGTCTTTGAGTATTAACACAAACTTTGCTTGAAGGTATTCATCAGTTTATTAGTGACATACAACCTGTACATGCCATTGTTCAGAATCTTCTTGCTGGGAAACCCATAGACTTGGATCATCATCTGGAACAGAAGGTGAAGGACTAAGTATCCATGAAATTCGTTCAAGTCTTATTAGAGCATCATCGTGCCAGCCGGATGGATTTTTGAAACATAGACTAAATTCCTGCCATCTTGTTGCCTTCCGCCAGCGCTGCTCAAAATTCTTCAGGATATCATAAACTGCAGGACCTTCAATTTTGCAATGTAAATCATGCCATGGTTGTCTTGGGGCTTTAATTCCTGCCTAACACAGACAAGAAATACAAAAAGCTGATAAATTTACATAAAACCAGTACTGCTGAAGGTCCCTAGAAATATATTGAGCACACATGTTTACTGACCTTCACAAGTAGCTTACCTAGTTTACTGAGTCAAACTAAGGTTAAAATCCTGATCTGATATCAACTCCAATATCTTGTTGGACCAATATATACCAGTATAATGGGGATTCTGACCTATACTGCTTGGTACCACTTTATAAGGTCCATTATTGTTTCTTAATCGAACCAGTAAATATCAGTCAGTATGTATCACTCTTATTCATATTTAAAACCTTGGGTCATATGAAGAGCAATATTGGGCTTGGCCTTGAGTTCCATCATAAAAATTCAGAAAATATGAAAAGAAAAGCTAATAAATTACATAGAACCAACAGAATCTCAAATCTCCTGGAAATCCAATGAGCAAACATGTTTATCTAGGGCTTTTATAGATAGGGTGATGGATTTATACGTCGCAAAAACATGTAAACATGTTTACATCTATCACAGACGTCTTACTTTCTATAGCTATGACACTGTAGCCTATATAATTTAAGCAAATTTATCTATTATATATATATGTGAGTCAATATCCAAGAAAAAAAAAAGGCACACACACAACCAAGGAAACTAAATGCAACCAGTTTTAATTCCGATCTATGCTTTACAGAGAAATTATCTCCAAGATTAGGTGTTTCGTAACTATAACTTGGACCAGTATGAAGTATTCCTCAGGAATTCATTTCATCAACCTAAATTTTGTACAAAAACATATGAACAATAATTATAATCATATCATCATTCACCAAAACCAGGTGATATTTATCAGTCCAACCAGTGTCCGGGAAGCAGACCCCCCTGATTTCCCATGATACTAAACCAATCCTCCTCTAAACCAATCTTGGTCAAAAACCACCTGAAACCAGTTAGAATTTCTAAAATTTTGTTAAAACCAATTGAGAACCATAATAAGGTCCACGAAAACACACCAAACCCAATCCCTTCTTTGACTTTGAGCACAAGAGCTCTCTCCTCCACCTCCACCCTCCCACCGCCACTGATCAAATCAAAATCCCTGACTCAAGCACATTCTAGGATTCTGCACATCACTGGCATGCAATTGTTGGTGATTCCTCCAAGGCATCTAGTGTAAGTCGAGAGGGTTATTTTCTTTTTTCCTACTATTTTCTTCCTTTTTCCAACCAGTACTAATGGTACCAGCATACTCTATTGGTTCAATCCTATTGGCACAGGTACTGATGGTCACAGCATATGCTACTATTCCAATGGTACAGGTACCTGTACCAAAAAGTAGTTCCATGCATTCTGTTATCTATTTTGGAATTATTAACTATGATATCCAAATAGGTATCAAATGATTATTTTGTTCTGAAACCAGTTATGAAGCCAAGATAATGAATAGAGGTGTAAAGTGAATCTCCATTTGGAACATTCCCTTAGTTGCATCCCAACTGCTTTATGACATCAATTATTTGAAATAAAAACATTTATTGACCGGAATTTACTGATCCGTTGCTATGCTAATTAGAACATTTCAAAAATAAAAACTTTGACAAATTTCCATGCATGGTAACTTAACTTAATATTGCCACACAATGCATAACACTGTTAACTACAACTGCAACATAAATTGAAAAACATATCATTGCCAAGATCTAAAGGTTTATGAAATAGCAAAAGGTCCAAATTGCTCGGTATTCAGTAGTGTAGCATGATAGAATGTCTAAGCCCAATAAGACATATGTAAGTTTGATAGATCTCCTCTTTATAAACATATCAAACTAAATGACTGAAAAATAGAGAGGATAGAATTGATAAACAAGACAAATAATAGTCACAAACAAAAATTTCCAACTATTGAAACTTTGTGATGCTACTCAGTAAATGAAATTTACATACCAAACAAACCTGGCAAGTATACAACTGAAAACCCTCGAGGACTTTAAAAGAAGAAAGCAGAAAGGCTAAATGAACTCACAGCGAATGTGGGGTTATGGAAATCATTTAAAAAGGTTGTGTCAAGATCACGAAAAAGTCTATGCTCTGGTGTATCATACCGACCATCACAAAGATCAAGACCTCCTATGAAAGCAGTTATCTTTCTCATATTTCCAGAAGCCTGTGTATCAACCAATACACATTTCTGATGGTGTGTGAAAAGGGTCCCTACCACCTGTGGATGGAGGAAAACAATGTAACATAGTGCATAACAAAATAGGAGAAAAAAATTAACATTTTCTGCTTAAGGAATGTTATCCGCTTACCATATAAGACAACTTATTAGGAGTTATGGCTGGATTGTAGTTGGCTAATGAGTAGCTCTTACTTTCACACAAGAAGTGTGTTCACATAAACAAATTAGATCTAAATTGTCTATCCATGAATCTCACCTTGACACAACTAGGTTAAACAGTCAATTTATAAATCAGTATCTGTCTTCTCCTTAAGAGGTCCAAATCATGTAATCATTGATCAATTCAAGCTTGTTATTCCTATCAAAACTTATTCCTGTTTTTTGATGATTAGTCCTCAATAAGGCCTATTTAATCAAAACTTGTTCAACTAGGGTAAACAGTCAATTTATAAATCAATATCTGTCTTCTTCTTAAGGGTCCGAATCATGTAATCATTGGTCAATTGAAACCTGTTATTCCTATCAAAACTTATTCCTATTTATTAATGATATGCCCTTGATAAGGCCTCTTTAATCAAAACTTATTCAACTAATAATACTATGAATTCCTTTATAATGATATTACTATTATTAGTAGTATTAGTACTATTTCAGATGGAGAGATCGATGAAGATATTATCTATAGAGTAAAAACAGGATAGTTAAAATGATAAGGGATGTCAAAAGTCTTTTGTGATCATGTCTTTGAGATTAAAAGAAAAATTTTATAAGACAATTGTGAGACCAACAATGCTTTATGGATTTGAGTGTTGGGTAGTTAAAAAACATCATATACAAAAAGTTTATATTGCAAAAATGAGAATATTGAGATGGATATATAGAGTTACTATAAAAGATTAAAAAAAAATTACTTTTATTCGTAAACAACTATGTATCATTTCGATAAAAAATAAGATGAGAGAAAATCATTTAAAATGATATGGGCATACTATCATGGACAAACTTCTAAACAGGATATTTGATGTAATGCTTATGTATGTCCGTGTCTTTTGGTATTTTCATGCTTTGCACAACATGTAGAGGGACGGCCGAAGGCTTAATAATCCCATTTTAGTTGGGTTTGATAGCCGCTTTAGGTTTGTAAATAAAGGTTGTGTTATGTGAACACTTGTGAGAGATTTTCGGTTTGTAATGAACCATATTGATCCTTTGTTGTGCAACTGTTTAGAGTTTGTAATGTCTGTTTGTAATTTGCATTGTCTATGAAGTGTTTTCGGAAATGTTTGCTTGTGGATCCCGAATGAAGCGTTTTTTCTAACTCGTTCTCTCTTTTATGAGTCCTAATGGACCATGGGAGACTTCGGGGAGGCTGACCTTTGTGGACGGACACACAAGGATGCCGCACGACTTAGGTAAAATCAGCTAAGTCCATGACAATATGCTTAAGAGACCTCCGGATACAATAGTCAGAAAAGATGAAATAATTAATATTAATGGTACGAAGAAAGATAGAGGAAGGCCTAAAAAAACTTTAATAGAAACTATAAATAAAAATTTAAGTACTCTGAATTTAACTAAACATAAGGCTTTTTATATATTTCAATGGCGATAAAAGATCCATTTAATTGACTCTAAATAATTGAGACTTACGCTTTATTATTATTGTTGTTGTGTTAATTTGAGTTTAACTTATTTGCCCTTTGAGGTTAAAAAAATTTCATTAATGGGTAAGCCCCTTTTCTGGAAAAAATATATAATTTTAGTATTTTTTTTAATATTGTTTGGAAATCTATCTCAATGATGATTTCATAATGTGTTCATATTAGAAAACCATTTTTATACTCGTATAATCTATATTATTTGATTATACTTTGATAGTGTTTTTGATGAGAAAATGATATATTCATATAGATTGATTATATTTAATGTTATTTATGCTCTTTTTTATTTTTCTACATATGATACAAATTTAATGCTTTAGTTATTTAGATACATTATATTAATATTTTTATTGGGATCATAATCATATTATTCTTATTTTAAAATTTTTAAACCTAAAATTGATTGATATGTTATTCAATCAAATTTTCATTAACTGAATTCTAAATAAAGTCAAGACAATTTCTATGGGTTTCTTATTCCAAACCTATCCTTCGATGCAACCAATGATTTATTGAAGATTGATGCAAGTGGATGGTTATTATAAAGATGATTTAAGAAATATAAAATAGTTTTATTTAATAAACTGTAGTGTCTTTAGTCTCTTGCTCACTTAATGGTTATTATAATGACCTCTATACACACTTAATCCGTTAGATATGGTGCTTTAGTCTCCTGCTTATTTAACAAACTGTAGTGTCTTTCAAATAATGGCTTTGCTTTAAATTATGTTATATATGATAGGAACACATGAGAAAATTGTATGATTTCACCATATATGACTGTGGATTGAATTAGTTGACTAAATGTAGTTGGACTTAAGAGAGCCTAACCCATGGGTATTCAATGGGTTTGCTTCGGCTCATTTTTATGGCATGATACAAAGAATATTCACCAATTTATCTTCTGGAACAACTTGCAAAGAATATTCACCAATTTATTGGCTTTGTAAACCTTAATCCAGCAAGAAAGAATGGATACCACATGAACCTTTTGAAGAATGGATGTTACCATTTGACATAGGCTGGTATTTGTGAAGATAGGTGACTTCCATGTTAAGAAAGAAAACAATAGAAGGACCACCTTTAACGTGCATAGATGATTCTCATAATATAATATAATAGCCAATGAAACATATTACTAGTTGAAAATATAAAACATAATTAAAATACAAAAAAAAAGATATTGACTAACGATTAAGTATTAAATGAAAGCATTTAACAGTTAAAGTAATCTCAGGCCTTACTCATAAAAATATAAGCTTAATATCATCAAAGAAATAAAAGAGTTTGGTTCAAAAGCAAATTTAGAGTAAAATGTTTCAGGATCCTATTTAAGGAAAGAGATCAACTGGGAATTTCCTCAAAAGAAAAACAAAAATCATAACAATAAAGAAACCCCAATTATGTAATTACAAAGTAGTTCCCTATATAAACCCTAAATCCATAATATGTTCAGGTTAAGTGGCACCTGCATTACCTAAACACTCTTTCTCATACGAAATGATATAAGTTCTAGTATATCACAGAAAACAGAATTGATGGTTACAAATGGTATATGGTCAAATAATATGCACTAATTATCAGTAGTTGGAAGTTGTAACTATAACGTTGTTGATTAGTCTTTATGGTTTATATTAACACTAACCTCATATAAAATACAAGATAAGCCATCATATTTAGTTCTCAGAAGGATAAAATTTTCAGTCCTTTGTCAACTGTACTGTTCACTAAATTTAGTAGTTTTCAGTCTAAAACATTTGAACTCAAGCATTTCTCCAAGATTATGCACATAAAGTAGGGTATGTGATTTAAATTAATTATTCACATAATCGATTATTTAGTCAAAGGGATCTTTCTGACAACCTAACCAGATTGCTCTAGACAAAGTAGAACAGATCAGAGAGAATTTGGTGGTGTAAAGCTTGCCTGTTGCTTGACAATGCTAAGCTTACTGCTGGCATATCGTGGAGATAACACACAAATAACTGAGGAATGCTTGAAAAACTTTTTAGTTTCCTCATCATGAGTTTGCATTACACCTCCCTGCAAAATTAAATGCACATGCAGATAAACTGATTTCATTAAATCATCTAATTCCAATAGTTGATCCAAAAGCAGCCTAATCATTGGATCTGTCGATATTTCATAAAAATTTATACATATAGAATTGACATCCTTGTTGAACTAATTCACATAAATCTAGTTAATTTATTAAAAATCTAGAAATAAGCAATTTGAGAAATTGGGTAAAGTTCATCATAGATTTTTATCAAACACAACTCTATTTAGTTTTCTCAACAAAAGTATCTTCATCATGCATTCTAATATTTAAGCTTGCCAAAGTGTGTCAACAATGTATAGCTCTAAAGCAAGCAACAATACATTGTGAATGTGGCAGATTTAACCAAACACACACGACTATGATTTTTTATCAATATAGTTTAATAATACTCGAGCCCCAAGTGATTCAACAAGTCAAATCTACATAGCTCTGCCTACAACAAACAACTATAACCAACTATTCCTACAACATTAAAATAGCTCTTTGTTTAAATTCCTGACAACAATACAATAAGTGCCTACAAATGTATTAAATGAAAAAAATAAAGAAAAAATGTAGCTAGTATATAGAATATATGCCAGAAGAGGAACTTGGTGTGAACACAACAAAACTGAAGAAGTGCACTGTATGGAAATTATACACGAACAACCAATCCACCATCTAGATCCATTAATTTCCCTATCTCTGAGTTCTATATTATAATCAGTAAAAGTCAAATTTTGATATATTACATGCAATTTTTCGTATATACAAGTTTTATTGACAATTTGATATAAATTGGATGGTCATGTTATAATTAGTAAACAGTAAAACTCAGAACAAGAGAATATTGATACTTAAAAAGTGTCATGTAACTTGGACTTCTTACAAGAAAAATACAAGACCATTATTTTGCAAAATCCAGAAAGGGAATAAAATGAAGAGATTGAAACAGGAAAGACAAATTCACAACACGGAGCAACCGTCCATTGCATGAAGATGAAGATACTGATCACGACTCAGTTTGCTAAAGTTTGGCAAACAAATGATTTGCCAAAGAAAATACTTGAGTGTGAGTGATCTTACCGTCTTGATGAATAATTTGTCATGAGATGTCTTGTCGTCCCAAACCAACATGCAGACTCTCACCCCCTCCTGCGACTTGTACTTGAGCAGATCCCCTAGTGTGAGCTTACCAGCGTCGGGCAGCGGCCGTGTCGGCTCTCTCACCAGTTTCACCTTGTGATATATCGACCAGCCAACGAGATAAATCAGATGATGTGCCTCAAGAATCGCATGACAGATATCCTCCCAGCATTTCTCGTGCTTAAAGACGGCACCTTTCTCGAGCGTCACCTCCGGTAGCTCATCGTCCAGCACATGAGCATCCTGGTAGAGCGTGACCGACCCCCCTTTCCGAAGCGGGAAGTAGGTATTCCTCACCCCGAGCTGCTCGGGATCCCCAGCTATCCCGTGCTGGTACTCTGGTTCCTCCTCGACGGGAATGTACTCGATGGAAAGGTGGAGAGCGGTCTCCGGCTTCGGCGGCTTTCCTTTGGGACCGATTATAGGGAACCAGTCCTGAATCTTCTTGCCGGCGGCGATACGGGCAGTGGGGATGGAAACGATGCCGATGAGCTGCGCGCCAAAGACGTCATTGTCCTTGACCTGGAGCTCGAGGGTTGAAGCGCGGTGGGCAACGGGGATGTTGAAATGCTCGTTCCAAGCGGGATCCTCGGAGTTGGAAATTACACGGGTGCGGGCGACGGTGGCTCCGGCGAGGGAGGCGGTGACGTAGGGGTCACTGGTGATAATCTTTCGGTGGTGGTGGTTCTGGTGGTGCTGTGTTGCGTCAGAACCGGATTTCGAAGCGGTGGAGCCGGGGATGGGCGGGCAGCAGGAAGTGTAGCAACGGCGGAGGTGCTCGGAGAAATAGTCCATGTTGGGGAGACGGCAGGCCTCGATGACGGTGAGGAGGAGGTCTCCGTGAAGGAGGACGTCCTCCACGGCAGAAGCAGACTCCCCAACCCCAACTTGATAGAGGATAAGATTTCCCCAATTATATGAGGAAATCTCTCTATTCTGTTTATTCTGTTGAGGGAAATCTTTCCTCCTAATCTGTATAAATAGGAGAGGGAACATGTTAATAGATTCAAGCTAAAGCTATTTCATTTCTACAATAAAGCTTCTTCAATTATTGTTCTTATCTTCTATTATTTCTATCATGGTATCAGAGCCGCTTGCCTAGAGCAAGCTCTCTTCTCGCTGCCAATCATCATTGGTGTTGCCACTCTGCGCCAACGTTCGTTCCCTTCCGCTACGGCATCTCTAGTGCTGCTCATCAGCACTACCCCACCTTTCTTCTTCGTTGTAGCTATTTTCTTTCCTCTTCTGCTACACTTCCTCCTCTGTTGCAGTTTCCTCCTTTGCTGTAGTAGCATCACTGCAACATTGCTGTAGATTTCTTCTCTATCGTCGCAGCCGTCGTAATCGCAACCACGACCAACGTCGTTGAGAAAAGTGAAGCTTCGCTCTTGCCTTCAGCCAGCGACC